AGACTTTGTCCAAAATTTGAGGGAAACCATCAGTGATGTCATTAAGAACACGAAGATGAAGATGAAAATAGAGCAGATGGCTGACATTGCCCATGAACTGGGAATCTTGGTTGATGAAGACCATGCAGAGTGCCAGAATGCCAAGAGAAATGCAGACAACATCATTGCAGAAATTAAAGACACCATTAAATACAAAGAAGCCCAACTTCCTCTGCAAGGCCAAATATGGAAGGAACTGACGAACTTAGAGAAAGAAGAATTTCGACTTCGAAAGGTTGGGTCACAAAACATAGAACATTACAGAAGTGATCTTCAGGAACAGAAAGAAAAACTTCGGGAAAGACAGAACTCTTATAGCATGTCAAAGGCAATGAAATGCTTCATTAGTGCAATATCAAGCCCTGGAACAGAGAGGTGCTATTTTCTGAAGTGGATGAAGATGAACCTTGATAACTTGTTTCGAGAAAAACTGTCTGACCTCAGGGAGCTGTACAAACAGAAATGTAAGGATTCTGAGAAGAAAGAGGAAATTAAAGACATTGACAGACAACTTTCCAACAGCTCACTGGGGACTGAACACTTCTTCCGTGAAATGGGTCAGATCTATGAAGCTTCACTTTCCCTTCCAGAAACACACCCATCACGACAACAATTACAACATCTGCCCAAATTCTGTGCAGGATTGCTGCTTGATGGATTTCCTCTTGAGCTTGTAGATGGAGATGCATCCAACATTCCTCTCCAGTGGGTGAGTGATGTTCTCTCTCAGCTCAATGACTTGGTGTCTCCAAAGAACAAGATACTGGTAGTCACAGTTCTTGGAGTCCAGAGCACAGGAAAGTCCACTCTCCTTAACACTATGTTCGGAGTGCAGTTTGCAGTCAGCAGCGGTCGATGCACTCGAGGTGCTTTTATGTTGCTCATCAGAATCAATGACGACGTCAAAAAAGTCCTCAACTGTGACTTTGTGGTGATCATTGACACTGAGGGCCTAAAGTCACCAGAGCTTGCACAGCTGGATGACAGCCATGAGCATGACAATGAGCTAGCAACACTCGTTGTGGGGCTGAGTGACATCACCATTATCAACATTGCCATGGAGAATTCAACAGAAATGAAGGACATCCTACAAATAGTTGTGCATGCTTTTCTCAGGATGAAAGAGGTGGGCAAGAAGCCTAAATGTCAGTTTGTCCACCAGAATGTGTCCGATGTTTCAGCCCATGAGAAGAACTTGAGAGACAGGAA